GTTGCGTAATATAATAAACAGACTGTGGATGTTTATGCATTTATAGCAAATTTTAACATTCTAAATTCAGTAAAATAAAGGCCTAAATAAAATTTAAAATACCGACAAATAACTTTCTGTATAAATAAACGGTAGAAAATTGGACGTACGTCAATACTGTAGAGTTTTGTAATACAATTTACCTAGTCGATGTATGTTTATGTAAAAACATAAAGATTGTCTAAATTAAATTTTTTTTCGTCTAAGAAAATTACAGTTCTCTATTTTTCCGTCCATGACATACGATCTTGTACAAATTCCAATCCTTCATGTTTGTGAAGCTTGGTGAAAGGGGGCTTATTCGCTCTCTTTCGCGTTACTCGTTTTCAAAACTTGTTGCACACGTCGTACAACAACTGGTAAATTTAATATTGCTCTGATTTGAGAAGCGTTCAATTTATTTTTTCGAGCTTTATGAAAGATTTTTCCTCTATCCCTTTGACTCAATTTCTTTGTACGGCCTGTAGACTTTTTTGCCCCATATTTATCACCCAATTGCAAAAAATGATTAATAACATTTGAAGATCTATGAATTTTTTCTGCGATTTTGCTGTTTGATAAATTCATGTCCTTGAACGCAATGATTAATCCCTTTTCGTGGTCATTTAATGGCTTTCCACGACCCATTACCCTTTAAATAATTATAATTTTTTAAAAGCGTTAAATAACTATAATTTATATTATAATTTATATTAAAATATACAAACATGAAAGAATTTTGTACTTATCTCATAAAATTTCTTGAAAATATGTAGTAACAAAAATATTTCTTAAATAAATGATCGTGAACCTAAGATTATTTCGCTCTATTACTAGAATAATTTTCAGCAAATTTCATAATCAATTACGTCTAAACACTTGCGCTGTCGAAACTAAACTAAATGTTGCTATAGTACTTAGAACACGTCTATTCAAAACATAAACAAACATCACAGGAGGTGTTCCACAAAGCAGATAAGAATGATAACTGTAAACACACTAGTTCGAGCTATGAACCTACCATTATTTTGGCTACTGTATTTCGCCCATATTTCCAGTAATTAGTAACTCTGAAAATCTGCAATTTCGTCATTCCTAATTTTCGTCTTAAAATTAATTCGACATATAAAATCTACCCTTGTGAAAGTGTCCCACAATTTTATTAACATCCTGTAGAATACATCGTGCACAGGCAATTGTTATTAGAAAAAAATCGTTGTAACATTAAATCCATATGAATTTATTCGACAACCTGAAGGTTTAGTAAAATTTTATTCACAGAATCGTTGGAGTTAACGTTTCTTTGGATAATGATCGACCCCGTGTCAGTCCAGTGAAACATTCGAAAGGATTTACGGGTGGAGGGGTTCAAACACATACGGAAGCGTACGTACAGGCGTCATCCGGCAGATCCTTAGCGATAATCTCCTGGTACACGTAACAGGTATCCGGTGGATCTTTCCTGACAGCCCGCTCCGGTTTCGCGAACACCATCGCGAGGCACGATCGACGCTCCTCACTAGTCGATTAACCGTTTTATAATTACCGCCGCTAATTGCACCGCACACTCGACAACACCGCCGTCTCGACGATCTTTCGTTTATTTGGTCGGCTAATTAAACGAATTCAGTCCACTCGATCGAGTTTCCAGTCCTTAGACACTGATCACTGAAGCGGTTGTGAATAAATTCTAAATCCTAGTCACGTGAATTTCTCGGTTGGAAGATGTTGGATTTTCTAGATTTCGAAAGTTTTATGAATTTAATTTGGTAGATATAGTAAATGTATATGCTTTTTCTTTAAATAGGAATTTAGAAAAGGAAGTACTGAGATTGGTGGATATTTAAATAATTGAATATGAAATGTCAGTTCAGTTGTAGTGTAACAATCACCGTTGAAAATTCTTGGAGGTAAATTATCGAATTAGGAACTCTATCAGAATCTTAAATGACATTCAATTGTGACGTTTATTCTAGACCTTTATTTAGATTGGCGCGAAAGATACTAGAACATCCTATTTTTAACAGCAAAATCATTCGAGTATTTTTCATTAAAACCATTCATCACGACTATTCATGGAATAAACAATCTCAAACTTTCGACCGGTAGTATGTACAATAAAACCATTCTATTAGGTCGATGCATAAGTAATATCGTTCATTAACAAAAAAAAAACCAAATCGACCGACCACGTCCATTGGAGAAATACAGATGTTTGAACCGACTGTCAGCTTTCGAAACGTCAAACTGCGCGCGCGCGCGCGCGCACAATCGCGAGAATCAGCTGTTGCGAATCGGAACAGGCGTCGAGATGTGTCATCGACGACGTTCATTGCTTGATACTGACCGAGCTACTGAGCAAGCACACGCGACGCCGATCATTTCGATCCTCCCGCGAGACCGACCACGGGAACGGCCGAGTACCGGTTCGTGCGGCTTCGTCGACCGATGCTTCTTATAAGGTGAGACTCGAAGGTGCACTCGATGGACAGTCGCGGGACTGTGTCCACCCACGTGTGCGAACCCCCCACACACACACCTTCCGAGCCAACGTCCGGATTACCGATCGCTAGTTATGGGTCAGTAAACTATTCATACGTGTTCGAAGTCCTAACGAAAGGTTTTGATTCCTGACAGAAAGTTTGGACAGTCCAAACAGAGCTGGTCGAAATCAGATGACCAATGTCTCAAGGTCATGGCCAGACGTTCAAGGTCGTGATTAAATTCTCAAGGTCATCTCTCACAATCGCCTGTTGGCTCCAAAGACGACGATCGAGACGTCAGTAATAATAACTGATCAATCCCTAAACATTATTAATCCATAGGCTTTTACGAATTTATGACAATGAAAATATGAAAACGAGTTTAGTAATTTATTATGTAATAATGTTATTACAGCACTTTGGTAGATTACTGTAATAATACTCGGTCTGTGTGTCCTCGATCGTTTCATCAACAATCTAAATCGTCGAATGTATTTCACCTGTAGATTGTAATTAGGTGCATGTGAAAATCAATTAAATCTTTTAAAAAAGAAATAATATGTGTAGTGCTTCTGCATCGTTTGAAGTCTACTTGCTGTAGCAATTAAGAAAATAAATTATGGGTGCATAGCGAATAGTTTTTTTAACAAAAAATCATGCTGCAGGCAGACAAACGCTGTAAGGAAATTATACAATAGTTCATTCGAAATATAATAGCATTCGAGCGTTTCACGTGGAACACAACGAAACACTTAATGCAATTAAGTACAAGCAAGATAAATGAGATTGATTTCGTAATGATTTTATTTAAGATCATCCACAAATAATGAGCATTAATGATTACATTCGGAAAATATTATTACGAAGATTGGTAAATTTTTCATTACATACATCTTTTTCAATTTATCTGAAACTATAATAAAAATTAAAGGATTCAAATAATAATATGATTACACGAATATTTTAATACTAACTACATATGAAGATTATCAATTAATACGCTGAAATGCTACTTATTTAACGAGAGCCGGTGAAGTAGTAATAATACCAAGTCTAAATAATACTCTATACAGGTAAAAACAAAAAAAGAAACAAGAGAACAAATTAGTAAAAAGCCACAACAAAGCAGTGTTTTATTATATAATAATTACATTGAACATGTACAAAGGTCAACTAAAAATGAAAATACTCTAAAGGTTCGTTACATTCGCAACCGTTTCGTTGCAATAAAGCAAAAATAACACGAAAAATATATATTGATTAATATATGTATATATGTATAAACGTCTATATAAATCATATAAACGTCTGTTGTCACAAAATTAAATATTAATATTATATATATGTAAAGTAAGTACACACAAGGAATACATGAAAATTTTCACTTCACTAACGCGAAATTTCCAAGTTGTTGCATTCCGTTTTAACGTATAGTAATTGTTGCGTAACATAGTTACAACTTATCGATCACTTTGAAATTAAATCGAGGCAACGTGTTATGCAAAACAGTATCAAAATCATAAACATTTTTCTTTTGTCAGAGAGACTGTTCAACCAAAATTGATATGCAAAATAATTCATTATTCAACATGCAGATGACCAGTTCGTAATTCAAACAAATTTACGCATGCATGTGTATGTTTATTATGCGCAGGCTGTAATTATAACTTAAAGCCTCTCAAAATACTCGATGAAAGTCGAGTCACTCATAAAAATTTGGTGATTTCAATCCATCGAATGCAAGCGTCACACTCGTAAGAATTTAAATATTAAAGAAATGATTAACATTAAATACAATTTACATTTCACAAAAATGAAAAGAAAAAGAAGTAATTGTATCACTCCAGATGCATACACATCCCAAGAATATTTATGATATACGTGGAAAATGAAGATGCATATTCAATATGCTAATACTTGATATATCAGTCTTTAAAAAATAACATACAAAGGTATATACAATATGAATATTGTGGATCCTAGTAATCTATATAGATAGTATATTCATAGTTATCACTCCAATGATGCTATGAAATATAATACATGCTGTCTATATGCGCGAGTCGATTAACATGCAGAAAATAATCGATTCTCCACAAATTTTCTTAACTGATCAGTTTAAAAGACTCAAGACGCCACTATTAGGACACTTTTTTATATTGACAAAATAAGAAAAATTGTAATAAAACATAGTAAAGAGTGAAGGGACGTTCGCATTAGTGAAGAAGTAAGGTTCAAAATGTACCTATTCGTTATATTCGTATTATCCAAATGCATGGTGATTTTGTTGGCGAGGGATATTGGAGAATGTCAGATCACTCGATCACTTTTGTCCACTCCAATCTCATCCCTTCATAGGGGTTACTCAAAGGGGTTCGGGTTTCAGAAGTTAAGAGAGAAGCACGAAGATGAGCCCGCTCAGTGCAGTGACCAATACAGCGGTCATGTACGACAGCGATATAGAAAGTGATCGATGTTCAATTTGATACTTGTACTCACCACGGATTTGTTTCACATATTTTTCGCTTCGGAACGAATTGCTCACGGACTCCACTAGCGCGTGAAGACACCTCAGATTTTCTCTGCACGCGCACTCCACCTCCGGCTGGAACATAAAAGAACAAATCAATCTCTGATCTATGAACTCGGCTTCACGATTCAAACCACGAAACCACGATTCAACGAATTTACGAATTAACGCAGCAACTACACAGATGGAAAATTACGAACAATTTTACTGTATTAATGTACTACTCGAACCATCTGGGGTAACATATATGAAGATAATTGAAATAATTATGACACGACTGATGAAGAATTTGACAAAAATACCCGAAGGATTTTTAGATTCCGTATCTTTTGGAGATCGTATCTTTACATGTCATCGCGCTTATCGATGTACGCAGTTATGAGCAAAAAATTTACACTTTTTAAAAGTTGACGTACTTAGCAATGGTTAAAACACGATCTCCAAATAGATAAATGACCTGATAATATAAATGACATGAATTAGTCAATTCAGTTTCAAAATATCCTTTGTAATTTATTCTACCGGTCTCTCTACTTCTAATCCATATTTATAAACACACTACATGCTTTCAAAAATACTGGATACTATCATGCACACTAAACACACTTGACTACTGCATTATAATTCTATGCATTTCGATCGTCAGTATTTTCATTCTCTTTTTCATTTTGAAGCAAACATTAGAAGAAAAGAATCAGGATTCTATTTGGTTGTGTTCAAAATAACTACTGCAAATATGAAATATTTAAAAATTAAAGAATAGTAATAATAAAAATTTCGACTTCACTATTAACTGTTAAATTTAATAGTAACAAAGAATAGATAGAAGATAACAATTAATTATAAATTATCTTCGATGGAAGCAACCTTAAATACATGAAATAATAATTATTTTATTATATAAAATTAATCCAACATTTCTTACACTCAAAGACAATGAAAACGTAAAATATCAATATAGATTACAACAGACATTGAGTACTACCATACCTTGGCATGCAAAAGCAGAGTTTTTTTTAGTAAACATACCTTAGTAAATGCAACATGGAATTGTCCATGTAGCAAGCCAGACTTACTGCTCATGTGAGTGTACACGTCTGTGATTTGTCGGCACACGTTGCAAAAGCAGGATAAGAACAGAAGCAGCGATAAACATGCAAGCAAGCGTTGTTACACGCACTCTTTCTGCAGTTTACTCGTATCATAGAACGTAAATATTTTACAGAGATTGGTATTCATGGTGTTGCAACAAACACATTAAGGCTATTGGTATAAACTCATTAACATATATTTACTATTATGTTACATTATTAATAATTATTCCATTCATTTATAAATTTACAGTTTAGAATATATGTAGGCACAAACTACAAATAAACTAATGTACCTTTCATAAGCGATTTTTGTCCTTCATAATCATAAAAAAACGGTGTGAAACGAATACTCTATGACATATATAATAACAAACATTTTATAAAATGATTATACTCGGATACTTAAATTTCTTCACAATATGAAAATAAATGGGTTCAATATGAACTACATTTATAATTGTACAACATTCCTCATTTCAGCCGTTCCAGTATCTTCCAAAAATCTATACAATTATCTTTTCTATGCTCTATGTAGAAACGTACAGCCATATTCATAAAATCCACATAATGTACACATTGTATATTACAAAAAAAACATTCAAATTCAATACTGGCGTCGTCATTAAAAAAAAATTGAAGAAAGATAGCAGCATGTACAGGAAAGAAAGCAAACATATTTTTATAATACACAATACCGCCGTTGAAAATAATATAATGGACTATTCCAAAACTAATGAGACTGTATTCATAAATTCTCTTTTACGATATACTTTTAACGTCACTATTTCGATTGCGAGAAATTTTTATCTCTAGCAACGTTTACGACATTGGTTTGAATGATCATCAATTTTCATTAATAAAAAAAAAGGTACGAACTGTTGCAAATTCTTAATAATTATTATTCTTAGTAATTGCAATTCTATTCAAGTACCTCTATTATTATAGTAACTCAATTATTCCGGAATAATTTTTCAATGTATCTGACGGAAACTGACACCCTTGGTGCAGACCTAAGTACAAAAGCTTTTCGAAATAAATAAATGCATTCTTATTACTTCTGAAACAGTCCGCATAAATATTTCAACGATGAAATGCAAGCTAACACACAGATCGTATTAGCCGACAGTTAAAACGAAAAGCACAGCAAAAAGCTTAACACACTAGCGACCGATAAAGATTTTCTAAAACTTGCTGTGTAACCAGCAATGTCAATGACGTAAAATCATTGTAATACATATGCAATAATATTCACATGTGAAAAGAACACTGTTATCTAGAAAACAATGAATCATGCACGCGTTTGAAAACGAAATTTTTCGTTTCCGGTCGAAAAAAACGGTCGTCAATGCGTTAATGGAACTTTCGGTAGCTCCGTGAGCCCGGCGATGCAAGATTCAGCAGGAACAAACGTACGATGTTGGTACCGGTGCAAACGGTTCTGCGATAAAAATTACTAGCCAACTTATGAACCCTTTTCCGCAGTGTGTCGAACAACTGGTACATCTTACGCGCCATCAAATACGAAAGCGGAAACAACGCTGGGAATATACGTACGCAATCCTCAGACATCACCCCGGTATTCGACCTCAGGAACAGATTTTCAGCGAGCACGAGCTGCGACTGCGATTTCTCCACCACGTTCCGGATGTCCTCCACATCACTGTCGCTGTCTTCCGTGGTATCGGTGACTTCCTGTAACAGATTCGAGGCACTCTATTTAGTATTTTATCTACAAGTATTTGTGTAACATTCAATATTGGAAAATATATACAATATACTATGAATTTTTATCCATACATTCATTATTAATTTATAAGAAATGGAACATTTATTGTGACATTATGGATTTTGTAAAATGAAAATTTTATTGATGTCACGTAAACCTTTCTTTTTTTTTGTTTCTATTTTATTAATAAAACTTCGTTAAAATAAATATTTGTTTTGTTGTGGTTTCCGAAATTTGTCCATAAAAATGTGAATTTTTTTTAGGATTTTCAAATGTATAGAAAGAATTGTTGATTTTAAATGAACTATTGTTTTGGTGAATTTAAAGTATAATTTTAGAATGTATTTCAAAGAATCTACTGAATTTCTATCAATTGACGCACGTTGTTGTGGGATAATGACTTTGTACCACTCATGAAACGATAGTGGAGTCAAGCAGAGAGAATCTAATGATGCTTTCGTGGACTCGTGCCAGTGGCGCTCAGAACGTTTGCGATCAAAAACGAAGTACTTGATACCTGATTATGACAGTTATATAAGGTACACTAAAATCGAGATAAAGATCTTGATCTTTCTGTACACAAATATTACGTACATTGGATACTGTCCGTGCGATAATTTTGTAAATTTATTTTTATTAAACTACTGATGCAAACTACTTTCTTCACATTTTTTAATTTTGACCCACAATTTGATTACAAACTACGCGTAAATATAACGAAGCTACGGTAATACATACAAATTTTAATGACCATTCTGCTTCCGATTTAAAATAGAAATGACAAAAAGATTTCTCAGACAATTCATAAATCAAATAAAAGTGAAATGAGAGCAAATAACAAATCTGAACAAAGTTGACAGAATATGATGAAGCAACGTTATATACATATTTAAACGTTCTATTTTTAGTAATATAGTAAACATGCAGTTAAACTCAGGGGTAATAGGTTATTATTGTATATTACTGCACATTGAAGTCCGCGTAAAATGATATTTGCCAGATTGCACTGAAAATTGTATCCGTTGTAAAGAATATTCACAGCGATATGTGATTTGCATGTGTCGTCAAATGAAGCAATATGAACCCGACTACAAAGGAACATCTACAACGAAAGTGTCCGTAATTACATCGTTTACCCTCGTTAAGAAATCATCAGCCTGGAGACGCATTCGTCTCGCAAAATCCTTGATAAGAGACAGAGAAACTCGACTACAAAATTTGTCACGTGCAACGAACTATCTTGTTTGAATCATTATTTTATACGAAATAAAAACAAAAATTATTATTAAAATATTATCTCCTATGTTACAGATTGAATGACAATTGGAATAAGAAAAATTAACCATTTGTGTATTATATGTTAATAAAAAAAATGTTTAAAAACAGCATGCATGAGCAAGAAGGTAATAATTCGGTGCAAGGTTGCGAGGTAAGAATGAATTTATTATCAATATTTAGCCGTTCTCATGTTTAAACATTTGAAATCAAGATTTTATTTGCTGCAGAGGAATCACACTCTGCCCACAGCATTATACAAACGATGCTCAACACGTTTATTTCTACATAATTTGAATATTATAACACACAGAAAACACTAAACGTCTAAGGCAAATAATGTACGACTTCGGTATACACTTGATACTGACAGACCTCGATACATTACGATACAAAAATAATATTATCAAAATGTGAAGTAAATCATAACGTATGGAGACTGCTGTAAGTAATTTCATACGTACAAACTATGGATCATAAAAATAAAAAAATTCATAGGAACACAACTGTGAATAGCACAAAAGCTACCATTGTTTATATAACTACAGAATATTATCGACTGAATATTTCGATGAAAATCATACCGATGTCGAACGTAACGATACAGTGAAATCATTTTATATGCACCAGGATATAAGGCATCAATAGTATGTACAAAATATGGGACATAATCGTGTACACATTTATCTATCTACAATATATACAAAATAAGGGAAACATTGTGTTAATATTGTTTAGTATGTAAATTTACCGAATTGCAATATCTACACATTAAGGGAATAATAGTGTTTATATTATTTAGTGTAGAAATTTATCTATCTGCAGTATGTAAAAAATAAAGGAAAAAGAATAGTGCCTATACTATGAACTATCACAGGAAGAATACGGACACTTGGTCGAGAAAGAAGAATAGAATGGAACGTACATGGTGTATACGACTTCTAGGCAGTGGAGAACTAGTGGGGACTGCGCTCATACTGGAGGCACAATCGGACTGACTATCGAGGAAGTTTCGGTAATCGTCTCCAAACTCCAGCAATCGTCGAGCGGTTTCTACATCCGGCGCTTCGCTGTACGGTTCGCTCATATACTTTTCCTAGCAAAAAAAAAAAAAAGACAAATAAACAATAATGTAAAGAAAAACTAAATAGTGATAGTAACAGAGAAAATACTGGATTAATTATACAACAAAACAACCAAAGCAACTAAGAAATGGATTAGTAATACTTTTATCAAAAGTCATGTCGTTCCTTCAATGTTATTAATTCTTTAAAAAATCAATAGGTACAAATTCTATTACTGTATCTTTATTCAAAATTAAATATCACGTTAGCAGCTTTTTATTAACCCTCAAGGACACGGGCGGCGTATTCCATACGCCACCGGTACGGAGAAGTCTGCTATTTCTCTAAATTATTTTTAGTCGAAAAATGTTTTTATTTTTTCATCCTAATTATCTGCCATTAACAATATAAAATTATTAAACTATGTGATAACAATAAACCTGCTGCTGTTTTTTAAAACTACGAAAAAAAGTAAGTAGTGTATTCACTGTCCGTGTCCTTGAGGCTTATCTTGATAGGGAGCTGCACTGACAAAATTCCCCTTTGTATACACTAAATATTATGATACTGATGTACTGAGTATAGTTAGTACAGAAGTAATCCAGGTGATCAGTCTTCCTCTGCAAGCTATCAAACTAACACAAAGTGGGACAATAAACACAAATATACCAAGGAGACTAGTTTTTAACTACTACAGCTTCTTCATTACATTTCTAATTTTTACAGAGTATCTGAATTTCCGTCAACCTCATACCCTTCCCAAATTACAATCATATACAGTGAGAGTCAAAACTAAGTGTACACCTTGCACAAGGTGAGATATGATTTTTTTAACGTTTGCAGGATAAATAGGCAGTCACCATGTTCGAGAAAAAAAATTCGAAATTATGACCACAAAATTTGGTAAATATCGTTGAACCTGGTGAATGTACTATTATGGTTCGCGTGCAGCATGGTAACCTCTGATGTAGGACAGTTGGCTTTTATTCATAGTACTATGGACAGATTTGGATATTTAAATATTTCAAAATCAAATTCAGCTGCAAGCATGGGTCTTCTAGTGAGAGTTCATGACCTAAGATATGTATATAGCAGAGGTGGTGAAAAATTGTTTGCTGGAAAACACTTTCAATCAGTCAGATCCTACATCCACAGTTACCAGATCCTATGTAAAATGTTAAATTCTAAAGTAAGAGAAATAAATATGAATGAATCCCATACCTTCAAAGTGTCTACTCACTTTTGACTCTCACTGTATGTCCAGTACATGAAGAACGAAACATGAATTTTCAATAAATGGTACCAATAATCCAAAAACGTCTTTACGCTTCACACATGTAAGGTCTATCTTCCGACTTTATATTACCAAATCTTACTGTCTGTTTCACATTAGAAAATTTGTCTTCGAATTCCCATACCGCCACATAATTAATAAATAATACCGACGACCCAAAACCAACAAAAAAAAATACACTCTACGCTTAAAATTTCAAAATTGCCTTCACGTACTATGCCCACCCTATCATTCGAACCGTCTATCCTCTAGTTACTTTCAACGATACGATGAAAAAAAATCGACAGCTGAACTTTCATAGAAACCGCGGGTGTACCAGTTCCCGTATGCCCAAGGTCAAAAGGCTAAACGTATTTACCTGGTAGTTATCCCAGGCCTGCTCGGAGAACGAGTTGTTCCCAAGACTGTTCATCTCGACGTCGCTGTCGACGTTCAGCTGCTGATTGGACAGCTGTTTGCCGGCGAGCACGGTGTCGAGGAGCCCGTCTTCGTACGTGAAACGCGCGAGCGTGCAGTTACGTTGCTCCTCGGCCTCGGTCTCGGACGCGGAAGCCACCGCGATACAGCACGGTAACCTGAATGGCGGCGTCGGGTCGCTGACGATCGTCCTCTCGGCGGAGAGCTGCTGATGAGCCGTGCACCCGGAGAACGAGCCGGACTTTACCAGGGTCGTCAACCGTCCGTGACAGTCACGTGAGATCGTGCGTATCGAACGACTGCCGCTCATTTTTCGTGTCGATCGTTGCTGATTCGACGAGCTGCCGTCGCTCCCGGCGGAATTGTTGGCGTTCACCGCCTCCGAGCTCGAGTCACTTTTGCGGCCCTAGATACGCAGAAAAGTAAGCAAACATGAAGGTTTTATCATTTCGGTTTGCTTAGTCTAGGCTAGGTTCTGTTCTATGTTATTCGGGTTTGGAGTCAAATTGAATGCTATGACTGTTTGTATTAGTCCTTCGAATTTCTGTGGCTGGGTCATTGAGGACTCGTCGATGAACAGTTACTGAAGTAGGCAGGTCATTTGAACAGTTCTGGGAGTACAGTGGGGAGACAACTTATATTGTTTTTAACCCCTGTCTGTTCTTCATTTTTTCTAATTCATTTGTTCCTCGATGTCAAGTTTACACAGTGGTAAACTAGTAATATAAGGAAGAGATAAATAATTAGATTTGCACATTTTTTTAAATAGAAACCTTCTGCTAAGTTTACCTACACATGATAGAATAACATCATTCCTTAGGAGAGAAATGTGTTAAATTGACATAGGAAACGGATGAGGGTTAAAATATTTCTAGTTTTTAATATGATCATCTTTGACGTCAATGCACTTGAGCCAACGATGTTCCAATTTTATAGACCAAGGTTCTAATTGCTATTGACAAATTTGCATTCGAATTTGTTTCTGGTCAGTTATTAGGAGACAAGACTCGACGTAAGGGTCCTTTTGTCAAAGTAGCTGTATACAAAGTACTGTGTAGTATAGGTTACAATTTATTAAAAAAACAAATAAATATCTTCGATGAACTAAATATTTCAGAACTATTATCCACGTAGTTATGTAGGTAATGAAGCGAGTATCGTCATTAGCATTAATTCGATGTGCAATGTAAATATTAGAACGGTGAGAATAAATGGTGGAACACTATTCGCAACAGTATGCCATCTTACCAGATTCTTCTTGCGCAGTCTGCTCTTCTTCCGGCGTAACGAGCTGTTCCGAACAACCCGGCCATCATGGCACATGATCGACTCCTCCATCAGCGTGGATGTTGAATTGTTGAACGACTTTCGTGATCCCCTGTAATTGGAAATACAGAAACAAAGGGGTTAAGAGAAGCCTTGAGCTGGTGTTCCAAAGAAAGTATGATTTTACGGTGATACAGTTTGCACCGCGTGAATCGATCAGATCGAAAAAATTAATTGAATGTACGATGGAAATCAAATACAACGCGATTGACTGTATGATGTTTGTTAGTAATTTTTGATGGATGGGTAATTGAAGCTTTTCTCAGGCGATGTAGAATGATAGTTGTTAGCTAAGTTTTTGTTTCGAGAGAAAATATAGTACCCTTTACATCGAATTATTATTGTTGGTGTTTTAAAAGAAAAATAAGGAAGGTTTACTTCGATAATGTCAAACATAAGTTTGTTTGGCGACAATTACATTGAAACCGATGTCAATTATTTGATGCCAAAAATTAATATAAAAACAATACTATCAGATACATGGACAAGTAATGGCCAATTCCATCCTAAATTATTATTAACATGGAACAATAGCTACAGGATCCATTATGTACTTGAAACATATCTCCCTAACTTCTCCAATATATTGTCATTTTCCTGACATAAGTTGAATTCCTAGTCGAGAAACCACAGCAAAATTGCAACGCCAGCTTAACTCTTTTAATATCTAAATTATAAATTTCTTATACAAACAATTAATCACTATTCACTTTAGTTTACTGATGTATTTAATTAAAAAAAAATGAAAATGGTGCAGGTTCTACGTGGACCAGGTATTGTACAAATATACGTATACTGTGAGTATAGTACAACAGTCAGTGTTCCATTCAAAGTTATAAAACTCTTTGTAAAAAAAAAACATACTCATTCCAGATATTGTCACTAAAATGATAAAATAGGCGTCTATAATACTGTAGTAGACAAATCCAGTTAGGGGGTTAATTAACTCAAACTCTTATACTATGCAGCTTGTACACAGACAACCAACAACAAAACAAAGCAGTAGAAAGAGAAGAAAAAAAGTATACGGAATACAAATACACTCACGTGGCATCTAGGGACGCAGACTTTGTCGGCGGCGTGGCGATCAGCTGATGGAGCGCAGTCTCCGAGATCGAGAACTGCGAAATCGGATCGTTCGTTTGATTCATGCCGGGTTTGTTCCCGATTTGCGAGATGCACGAGACGCTCCAGGGCCTGGGACCGTTCGTCTTTTGTTTCGAACGCATCACGACTTTCGGCGTGCTCGCGTCCAAGATAGGATTCGGCTCGTTCACCGGCGTCTTCTCCGGATCGTCGAAGATCTCTTGCGACACCGACTGGGACGTGCAACCGAGGGCACCTTCGAAACGTCGGTAAGTCGCTACGCTGCTTTGCAGATCCTCGGACGAGACCGACTGCCTATCCCCGTCGGACTCCTCAGTCGTGTACTCGCCGCTCGCATCGCAGCTATCCAACGGCTGTAATTCCAGTTGATTACAATTTGTTGCGAAATCATGTAATCCCCTCCCCCCATCGTTAAAACTGGCGCGAGCGTGACCGCGCGGAGGACACGTTGAAACACTTAAACGATCCGAGTATTATCCCCTTACCGCATCGCGTGACGAAATTTTGCAATACTAGTGACCTCCCTTTTTTGTTTCTTTTTTTTTTTTTTCAATTTCATCTCGTGACTGTCACCGCTCGAATGGTGATTTGTAACCGTCTTTGTTTGGACTTTGAGGGTGATGTGAGGGTTTTTAAGGCGTTACTCCAGTAATAATCCTTGCTATACGCTGACTGATCCAGTACTGTTCGCGAGTGTTAAACTTCTCGCATGGATATTGTCTTGTTTTCATGAAACGGTTGCTACTAGAGATGTACAGACTAGAGTTTTGGGCGAGTAGCCGACAGAGTTTGACACAATTTTATTCGAATAATTATAGTGAAAAGCAGCAATATCTGAGATCATCATCCTGGCTTTTAAATAGTTAATGAGATTAAATAATTGTTTGCCAAGTGCCTACTTATTCAAGAAGAAATATTATTGTATTGTAACAATTGGAACTTCCATGTTTAATCAATTATAAATGTCTACATACTTTCTTTATCTTTCGTTAGTTATTCGAAACTCTTCACCTAGATGAAGAAATTACCTATCTCTACTAGCCGATTAATCAGCCTCTAAGAAGGTCGATTAATCCGCTCTGCCTCTGGAAACACATTTTTAAACAAATTTCTACGTGAATTAGTCGTCCTTTCATTCAATTTAATATTAACAACTACTAACATAAATTAATTTTCAGAAGTTGGATCAAGTGCTTGAAAACACAGGTGCAAAATTGACCCAGTCACCGCCATCCAAGTGTCAAACGTTCGGAGTAAATGCTCACTTACAACAGCCACACACTTCCTCCATCTTCCATCAAACTATTATAAATAAACTAACTCTCACGAGCATAATCGCGGAAAATAATTACAAGGCAAGTGGTTTGTCAAGATTAAAACCATCTCCACACTCACAACCTTTTTGCCACTCTGATTGCTACTCTGTTCACCGTGCAAGATCCCACGATCGCGAATCAGACTCCATTCGCCGCGGATCGACGTGGACTTTCTTCGATTTAAATCTCCGATCGTCATTGAAATGGTACTTTCCCCAGCGGAAAAATCCCACGCGTTCGCCGCGAAAGGCAATCTCACCGTGCGCGCGCGACAGCGATAATTACGGCTATTTTGGCTTATGGAGGAACACAGTCCAAAGCTTTCCTTTTAATAAAGAACGTTCCTTTTAATAAATAACATTAGGTATAAGGATATACAGATTTATAAGTTACCAAAATATCAGACGGTAAGGCGAAGCAAAAATAGGCAATAGCTAATAGCTAGGGTATTATTTATAGGGTAACTATTTTTTTTTTAATAAATAAATATGTGAATAGAGTGTCCCACCTAACGTGAGCATCTGCAATATCTCCGTTATTTTCGAAGATACACACAAATATAAAAAGAAAGTGTTAATTGGTCAGATGGAAGAAATACTATCATCAGCAAAAATTTTTCTCAGTCATATTTTTCGAAATTTTCAGGTCATCAATGTTATTTTTAAATAGAACTATATATTGTTATCATCCCGGCGTAATAGTTGAGATCACGACCAATCCAATGACCTGTCAAAGTGCGACCTTCATGCGACCCTGAGTACGAAAAATCCACAAATGTGTAGATTTAAATAATAAAATAACTAAGCAAGTGAGATACTAAAGGTGCTCACGTTAGTCTGCATACATAAAATTACGACTCACCTGCGACGTGGACAGTCGTCCCTCGTGCCCACGGACCGAGTTCAACTTCAACCACTCCTTGATCCTTGCGTACTTGGCACGATGATTGTTCGTCATCGCCTTATCGTCGAATATGAGCTGGGGAAACGTCTTCGGGACACCAGCTCGCCTCTCTTCACCGACCAGCTTCTCGACCTCTTTGATCAACCTCTGAATGCTGGTCTTGTCGTTGCGCGTCTCGTCGTCGCTGTCCTCTTTCTCGCGCTGCAAGGACGCGTCGGTTTCGTTCGGGGTCTCGTCCACGCACTCCATCGTCACCTCTTTCACGGGCCTAACGGTTGAGGTTCTTATGGCGATCTCGTTGCCGCGTCGCTGATTGCTGTTGTTCCTGGGCGTCTCGCCGAAATCTAGTCGCACCAGGACGTTCGTCTTGCGCTGTTCTGACGCGTCGTTCGCGGATGTGTATGTCCACTCTTCCTCGGACGAGTCCTCCGCGACAATCGCGGCCTCCTCGTTCTGCTCGGAGTCTGTGTCCAGGTGACGGAAGTAAAAGGTCGCGCAGTTCTTCGACTTCCGGTCGGATCTAACGAACAAACGACAGGTTTAGCGATGAATTCTCTGAAACGCGCATACTATGCAGAGATCATAAGTTATGAATCAAATTAGCTGGACCACCTCCAGTCACAGAAATTGCTCACTCGGAAATGATTTCTGTTTCCACATAAAAATAGAAAAGCATGATCACTGTTCCTTAAAAATCTTTTCACTACGAAAAGTTATTTAATTCTAACCAATCAAAATCAACGAAAACTCTTTTTAAAACGAAAAACACGATTTACACAAGTCGTTTTCAAACGTCAGCTTCAAAGACGTCTCGAACCATTCAGATTTCTGAAACCATTATGAAGAGAGAAAACAAAAAAACAACAATTTCACGCTATCCAATTTCTCCAACTGCTTTTAAAAACAAGAATACTATAAAACATACGGTTCCCTTTCAAACTATTATTAACAAAACCAGCGGTCAGAAGACAATAAAACTAAATCCTAACAAATTGTACAAACGATACCCACAATTCTCCTATGTTGAAACAAAAACGGTGAAACTTTCACGAAATTAGTTCATTTTCCGGTACACGACCGGGGCACTCACGCCCCTCGAGATAAGAATCTTGATAAGGAAATACTTACGTGTTGAAAGAGGCGGCGGCCTCCTCTGTCGTTCTACGGCGTTTCGCTGTCTCTTTCTTAGCTAGACTACCGTTCGTTTGTCCCACCACGTTTCCGGGTCTACCGTCGATCTGGTCGCAACTTTCCTCGATTCCCGTCGAATTTGTCACCGGCACGGTCTCCGGTGTTGGTGGCATGTCGTCCTCTTCGTCCTCCGTGACTGCGTCCTCCTCGATATCGCCCTCCTCACCCTGATCGCCCAACGTGGACGCGATTCGATCGGTTTCCTCACAATTCTCCGCTCCGTCGGACTTTGCGTCCATCACACACAGCTGACATAATTCATCCTGCAACCACAGACACACCGTCAAAATGGCTACTCACAGTTTATCTTCATATTTCATCGAATCGCATAAAACTGTCTTCCATAATATTCGTCGGAATATTCTGTCGATTTTCTATCCTTCTGTTAATGATAACCGATTCACAGACGATCGAGAAACTGACAGAAAGATGAAATATCGTTACACCAATTATTTTTCAGTGTTTTTCATTGTTCGATTGGGATGTGACACGTGAGAACCGGTTTTCACAGAAAACTGAGGAAGAATCGAGTTAAAGTTTCAGCCACTGGACACTTTAGGAGCGTTAAGTGAATCTAATTGGTTGAGGAATGACGATATATCGGGTACTATTTTTAGAAGATTGTATTAGATTCTTTCGATAGCGAGGCAAAACATCGTCGAGCACCGGGAACCGCACTTTTACACCTCTCCATTGCGACTGACTGACGAGCCTGACGGTTGAGTTGATCGCGATAATTCTCCACGATAAGATGTTAATTATCGATCGAGCCGCTAACTGGCGCGCTAACGCAAACATTGGATTGATCCTATCGAAATATTAATATACAGAAATATTCCCAGAAGCATGGCCTTGACCAAGAATTCCAAACGTAAAGTATTGCTATTGTGTACATAGTTCCTTTCCCTTGTTCCACGGTGCTAAGGATGTGGAGTTTTTAACACGTTGACTATTACTTCTACGTCTCTCACGTAGGGGAGATATACTTTCCGATCTAAAGATAAAAATTCATGTTTACGATAAAAGATAAAATAAGATACATTCTACAGAAGTAAAAGAATTGTGAGAAATCTTGGCTTATAGATAAAACGTGGATGTTTCTGAAGGGTTAACATTTTTATGTAGTATTTTAAAACAGTAGAAATTAAACAGGGATACAATAAAAAATTATAGAGTAAGTACTCCGTTATACTCTAAATTTTGCGGCTTATCATACATTATAGAGTCGCAAAAACTATAAATACAGTGATAGAAAGAAGAAGCCATAAAACTGATGACTTTTACCACCGATTCATTATACTGTTTTTAGTGTAACACACCAGGATGGAAATGATTTCCATCGGGTTATAGATTAATATAAAGCTAACTTATTTTGGTATACTTGAACGTAAATCATTCTTAACCTATATGTTCACAATAATTTTCAATCATTTTTAACGTTATCAGAATACCAGGTGTGTTTGTAAAAAAAAAATTCAAAAACCACAGTGGACTTGTGCTGATTTGGAATTTGTGGTCTGATTTGTCGAAATCGTCTAGCTTTTTTGAAACGGCCCGTCGTGATGGGGGCGGATTTAACGACCGAAAAATTAAGGAAACGTAACAACTTTCCACCCTGCAACGTAAGAAACTGATTTCATGTCGGGTCGGAAATAAAGCGTGCCGAAGAAAATATCGCTTCTGCCTGAGCGGAGGATAAGGTCGAACGGGGACCGTGGGCACGTTCCTCTGCGTCACGTACGTGTAATTACGCGTCATTTTAATTTTTTTTTTTTGCTTATTTCGCCTCGTGAATATTTCAGAAGGTAAAAGGCCCCGCCGCCGCGTGTGCACTTTCTCCCGGCGAGTTCTCAATTCCGCTCGGGCAGAGCGAAGAGCTCGTCTCGGCGAGGCAAGATTTTCGAGCTTCCTCGATTGAAGGGAACGCGGGAGGAAACGAGAGAACATACAGGGTGTAACAAAAATGTTGGAGGACCCGGAAATGGGAGACTCGTGTGATGATCTGAAACAAATTTTTTCGTAGAAAAAATGTTATTGGAGGTTTTGCTAACGAAATATTAACGAAAATCCCCGACCAATCAGAGCGCGAGTCTGCCGGCCGAGATAGTTTCCTACGTGCTGCGATTGATAGCGATTGATACTAACTTTACCTTCCAAACTTTTGGTATTTACCCTCATTAAAACGCAAGTTTCGCTAAATCAATTCCCTTTGTCTCTAATAATAAATATAACAAGAATAATGTCGTCTTAGATCAGAATAATAAAAAATACACTAAAAGAAATACATTAAAAATATATTAAATAGTAGTGTAAAGGCGAGTCTCAGCTTCGCTGCCATTAATTCTACCCCAATCGCATCTTTAAGAATGTTTGATCGAAAAATCAACCGTTTAATGTTTTGAAATGATTGTTTGATGGATATGCAAGCTTCAATGGAAAAGTTTAGTTACCTTCCTCAGGCTAAAGTATTTAAATATCTATCATCTTATACGAGCGGACATGTTGTTAAATGCTGTTGTAAGTAAGGATATTTACCCACAGATTCGCGGTAACGACGAATTAAACCGGGCATCGTCGTAAATCAATTTCATCGGGACAACAAAGATATTGAACGAAAGGAACACAGCGTTCCACTCGGCGCGCAGTAATAACATTGTCATTGTCCGCGAAGCGATAGATCATTCCACACAGGTAACACGTGTGACGAGTAACGTTATTACGTGTCCCGATCACAGGGTAGATGCTCGAAGAGCAATTCCTACGATTCAACGCTACTTGAAGAACCGGTTGGGCCAAAATGATCCATTAGCATTTGATAAGCGTCATATCCTTTATTATTATTTTCTGTTTACAAGGTTCTAAAACTTTAGAATTGTATGTTAGATAAAGACAGATTATAGTGGTGGTCGAGAGAATCTTTTTCAAGATGATGGATACACCGACGAGCAAACTCGGCTTCCGCTAGGGGAAAAAGTGAAGTTGGCGAAGGGCCTGCTACCATTTAGTTTTGGGAGTTACTGAAATTTATATGAAATTAACATTTGGTTTAACATTTGTTTCAGTACCTGAAATAAATTTACAAAGTGGTAGGAGGCCATTTCTCTACGTTACTTTTTCCCCCTAGTGGAAGCCAACTTTGCTCGTGGGTGTACATAGTGAAAGAAATACATTGTAGGTCGAAATGACGCAAATGGTCCTTTTGGGAAAAATACAAAATAACCCTTTTAATGTCAATTCTTTAAGTGCAGAATATGTACCCCGAAACTGATCGATCAATCCTTTTTTTATGATATCTGGACGGTGGATTTTATGCACTTACACCGCACCTAATTGTTTGAGATTCAGTATAATAAGAAATTTAATCACGTTAAATGGCGTTTCGATTTTATTCGAAATCTCGTAGAACGTTTCATTTTCAAAGAACGAAGCATCAAAACTCGCAACTAGGTCAATAGGGATCCATAAGATCTCAGAGACATGTATACAGACGATACTGGACTTTATCGCTACATTAAATGGTTCTGTGACTATGTTCGTGGACGAGTCGCCGCTGACCCACCCATAGGTGCGTGAATGTTAATGCAAAGAAATCTCTTATATTTGTTTAAAACAACAGAAATTCGATTTTTCTGTTATCTTTCATAGGAAAACGCAATGTGTCTCGCGTTCCAATAAAGTATTGTTACTATACTTTAAATCAAATTTGGGTTCCCGCCATTTGCTGACGAAAAACCACGCTGGATTTTGGAAAATCATTATCAATATAAATGAAATAGTATAGATCTCTGACTCTTACGGGAATGAACGCTGACTTTACCAAGAAGTTGTAGATTTCTTATCAGTACTCTCAATAGATTATTTATGTAGAAATTAACCATACTGTAGATAACAGATGACGGTCACACATAAAACAGACTACAGTCAAGTCAATCAAAGAGTAGTTTGTGTTACATCATAAGTGAAAGTGATTGAAGTTACTAAGATTTCGCAAAGATTTCGATTTTCTATAAAATTTTCGCTCGATATGTGTCCACAGCACTCAAATCATTAATTATATAAAGAACCCAAAAAGAGTGCAACTATGTTTACGGTGGCTATTGATCCTAAAACGACGTTATTCTCTGGAAGCTAAACACCAAGTGGATGTAGAATCTATTTTGACCCATAACAGATTTGTTTTTAAGCTTTTAAAGTTTTGCAACATTTTCACCTGCTCGATTCAGTTAACACGAACGTAAATTTTGTTCCAACCTTTTTTGACACCGTGTATACACGATCGCGAAGAGACAGACAAAAGTAAGAAACCTGTAGTTTCTCCTTAAGTCGCTAAGGTGAGTCGAAACACCAGTTCGACGTGTGTATACACAATGTATTCGAGCGGCGCGGATCGACCAGGCGATCACTTTTGTTCCTGGAAAGAAACAATGGCCGCTAATAAGGGATCCAGGCCCGTTTCCATATTCAGGTATCCGTTCGTGAGCCCGAATCCACACCGTTAACTGCATTTAGGGTTGATCTACATTCTGAGAAATGAATTTTGGTTTCTGAACGCTAGGCAAACAATACATTACAAAGGTAGAAATTAAGGTAAAAATAAAATCTGTATCTTGGCGGAACGAAACTGTAACTGACCTGATCGTTAATACCAAATTAATGAATCTTTATGCACATTCAATTTATGCTGAAAGTTTATGTTCATTCTGTTAAGTTTTATTATAACTCCCGTAATATTATACTGCTATTGTTATTAAATCATGGGATTACTTCTATAATTATTATTAAACCGTGTTGGGATTATTATTACCAAACTGTATTATTATGATTATTACTGAACCGTATTATTAAATAAAATTGTAACTTCTATTAATGTTTAAGATTAATATTGTCTGTGATGATCCGTTTAAAAACAAAAAAATAATTCTGTATGAATATATTTAACATCTATAGTAACGATAATAATCGTTAACTATATACTAAAATTAACGTCGTCAATGTGTAATATAATAAGAAAGTAATAAAATTATAGAAAATATGCACGATAATAGAACAAAATGATCAATGACGATTATATAAGATCTAGTGAGTTATCCCTTTGTATCTTTCTGTATCTCTTTTTGTAATGGAACCGTTAGATTTTTTCCCATCGAACTACATTTTTTGCATCATTTCATCATTCGTCAATGGAACCTAATTACTTTACAGGATATTTCAAATTGTAGTCGTACCTTCGCGTATATATTATTTCGCACTAATAAGAACGCTAATTCTATGCTACAAAGGCAACTACAGTTAGGTACTATAATTTCAATGCTGAAACCGCTGACGTATTCGAATAAGGAGTCTCAGTTTTTATCCACGAAGTTATTAATTAAACCGATCCTACCTGAAAAAAAAACCTGGTCTCATTTAAGCCAAAAAAGTTTCGAATAGTCCGTGAAAGTTACGCATTTATCATCTATACAACCAAAATGAAGTGAAGCGAACTGAACAATATAAATTATTAAATAATCCAAGATTTTCTGTTTTATAAATAGTAAATTTCTATTTTAACTGTTATTAATATTTTATTTTTACCCGTATTTTCAATTCTTTAATTTGTATTTATTTCTATTTTCATTGGTACTTTTATTTTATCGTGCTAAACTTTGAAAGATTGTAGTGCATTTTTTTTTATTTCAATTTTCGTAAAATTATCCATGAATTTGCATCGAAATTCACAGTCTAGTGACAAAGCGATACGATCGAATATACCGGATTTCGATCGATCGGAGCACACGTGGACGCAACGCGTGCACAAAGTATGCGAGACACTTCCTCCAAGCTCGAAACGAAACAATGGCGGTTAGCTAATAAGGATCAACTTCCACAGTCAGATGTCCATCCCCGTAATCGAGCGACCATCAGTCCACCGAACTCACTCTGAGCAGACATACATTACACGACTTTTTGTCGGATTTTCTTTCCTCGCTTTCAGATCGAACGATCGCGTAAAATCACCGTGGCGTTAAATTATTTGAAAATTTATGTACATTTTTTTGCACTGAACGTCTCGACACGTTCAAGACCAACACTTTTTACAGCGTACAATTTAATCGTCTTATCTCTAAATATTATAGAAATTTATAGTTTCACTACAACTATTTACCAACACTTGGTTTTACACTATTATAAAAAATTTCACGTGGATTTATTCATTAGTCCTTGCCTTTCTAAGCTTGGGTCACCAGCGACCCATCGATAAACACAGTCATCTAACAGTTTATGCAACAACGAAGTAAATATTCACTTATGGGTCCTGATTGACCCAATTGCCGGTTCTGACGGTCCCGTACTTACAAGAGTTAATAGATTCGATATAAATGAAAAATAATTCACTACAGTTGTTACTATGTTAATTTAAACACTAACTTTATGGAGGAATTAAATCGAAGACGTTCAATAGATACTGTAAATTTGCTACTACTTAACATTTCGGCAATCATAGATTTTCCATTGACAGATTGGTTCACTTTTATTTTGAGGGTCAATTTCCAATTTTATGTTAACAGTTCGATGTTTACACGATTTACAATATTTATTTTATTTTGGCATGATTTCGAAACGCGATTCGAAAAGAATTATAAATTTCGATTCAGAATTTACAATGTTCGATCGTTTTAGTCTTGAGTTCGATCACTACACCGCAGATGTTTATAACCACTTTCGGTTTTTATTAACTGTTTTCAGAGAACCTAAAATCAATGAAAATTGCCTAATCCATTGAAAGATAATATACTTCTTATTTAATTTTCAATTTAATAAATCCTCGTTAGAATCTCTATTCCAAAAATGCATAAGTTCCACAGTGAATCGATCACGAATATTAATCTCACCAGTCGACACTTCACAAATCCTCCAAATCCTTCAATTTCAGTCATACAAAATCACCTTAATCCAAAACACAAAGAAACCCAAAAAGAATCCCCACCTAGTAAACAAATAATCAACAAACAGTACAACACAAAGGCGATCTCAAATTCGATCACAAAATAAAACCACGATCCGCGTCGATCAAAATATCCAAAAATTCTCGGCGAACACTATAAAATCCCACGAGCTTCCAGAGTTCCAGTCACTGTCGACGAACAAAAAAAGAATTCCTGCTCACAAGAACACCATTGTTCCACAAGAAATCTTTCGAAAAACGCTGTCTCGTCGGTATCACCAACACTCGATGATCACGTAGATATATTAAAAATCGAGAAACAAAAGGGAATACGATATTTCGTTCACCGGAGTATACGCACCTCGAAGTAAGATCCTTCGCCGACGGATCGATTCTCGGAAGACGCGTCTGTGTCGGATAGATCCGCTCTGGTCGCGGCTGGATCCTCCAAGTACCGTGATCTCGTCGCTCTGTGGCGTTTCGAGCGTTCGGATCGCGTCGAGCGGACCGACTGACCCGGGGATTCCCTTCCAGAGCCGCGCGAGTGTCTGCGGCTGAGTCGGGGCTGCTTCGTGACTGGCTCCTCGTCGCTGTCGCTACTGCAGCGGTAAGGCACTACGCTCTGAAACACGAAATCGCCGAATCACTTTATCTGATAATGCTGCTAGGCGAGCGCGAACGCGCCGGTCAGAGGCGTAGACCATTGAATACATCATTTCTGGACCCTAGAGCCAGAGTGTATTATTAAGTCTATTTAAAAAAAAACAAACTTATATTTTAAATGTTTCATAAGTAAAAATTGGTCCAAATGAGTTGAGTTCTTTTGTGATTGTTAGGGACATTAGTTTACTAAATGGTGTATTAAAAAGAAACTTTGACAAAGTTGCAATTAGTCGGAATCACGAAGAAAATACATAGTATAATTAAAATTTAATAAATACATATCGAAGATTTATGTTAGTTAATACGGAGGGTCGATCGATGACCTACTTAAATTTAATAAATGAATGAAACCAACTCGTGAAACAGTTGAAGAGTCCGCCTCTGAAATACAACAGTATCTTTGTTATAATACTTCATGGTAAAATGAGCGCTGTTCATCTGTGTTAATATCCCCTAAACAATATTTATTCCAGACTTTCAATAAGTTCGTAATGTCTTTGTATCATTTATTGCATATTCAATACGTGACTTAATACTCATGAGTGGGAGTGTAGGTGAATCGAGGCTCGCCGCGGCGATTACGATTTTTCAGACTCGCGGAGCTTTGTTGAAGTTCCGGGTGATGGGTGATTCGAGGAAAAGAGGATTAGGAAGTGCGAGTAGGTGGAGGTTCAACCGGTGGAGTAATTCAATGCTTGAATATGAATCGATGTTTAAGTGCAGCTCGATTTTACAGCGATTTGTTGTGAAAATAATTTAATATTCCGGTGGATTTCTACTCAATCAACTTTGTATTTGAATAATTTAATATTTGAACGACAATTTTATAGGACAATATTTTTAGTTAAAAAGGTAGAATTTCTTTCATGGCAAACAATTTCAAAACGTTAAACATACGAATATAAATATATGGATACTAAACAAAAGATTTTTTTATAATACCTAATTGTGTTTTTTGATCCCTAATCTCTTACAAAACGTGTATTTTAATTGTTATCGTAATCTACAATTACCTGATCTACTTGCATTCGATTTTTTAATTTTTCACAATATCTTGTAGGTGTGGAAGTCTAGTCCAGTGAATGACCAAATTGTTGAATCTGTAGACGTTTGAGATTAATACTTGAATGTATTTATTTGAAACAACAAAGCAGCTGTTAAAGTTGCAATTACACTTGTTTTTCTCGAAATTTATATAAAAATAATTACTTATTCGTATCGTAATTTAAAGAAAATGATTTATCAAGTGCAAAACGTGTTAAAGCCCAGTAAATGACTGCTTCATTTCTGAAATATTTTTAATAAGTATGTATTGTACTTATTAATGTTTGCTTAATACGCTAAACTAAAAATATGGAATTATTAAAAGTGCAGCTACACTCCATGTATAAACATTTAATCATTTTTAAATTAATAATGTATATTTCTTGACTAATGATCATTCACTGGCATGCAGTCAATTACTGGTTAGTTTACGCTATAGAGAAAATTTAAGTTCTCGCGCTACATTAAGAATAGATCTTTCTTTTCAGGATATAATATTCTAGTATTCCGTTCTGTTCAAAAATGGACACGTGTATCGAATGAAAATTTTCGTTCACACGATCAAAAATGAAACGCAAATTTTTGGAGGCCACTCGAGGGGACACGTGTCTCGAGAGAAGAAGGAAGCACAGTTTCGTATGATTTAGCGAAAAAAAAAAACAAGGTTCGGTTGGATCGACGCCAGAGTAAAATTAGTTGAATCGAGAATAAGAATAAAGGCAAGGCAAAAATGGTTTCGTTCTTTGTGGGGTACGCGTTGCTTGACTAATTTTCCCCGAGGCCGGGTTTCTTGCTACGTGGGTTCTAGTTCGCGAAGGAATCGCCGCCCATTGAAGAAATTATTGCCAGTAAAGTGAATTTATTGTTGCGCCAGCTTTATACCCTTTTTCTCGGTACGAGGAATCGATGCCTCTTCCACTTTTTAATGGGCGTTTCTTATGTTTGACGAAAAAAGTGAATAGAACTCTCGAACGCACACAATAAGACACGATGTTAAATGAGGAAATTTCAAATTGTTTCCCTTGCGTTACTGTTTGTGATAAAAAAGAATGTGGGAAGTTCAGGATTGGAGACAGGAGGTGTATCGAGAAATTGCGATCTACAATTTTTTAATCTCCTGCTGTTAAGATTTCTAATTTGATACTAAATTCGATGTTTAAAGTACAGATACGACATTATGACCATTCTAGAACCAAAATATGTTCAACAATCAAGAATAATTAGAATAACGATACATTAAAGTTGTTGCGCAATAAAACAATTTCTGTTCCCTGATATAATCTATAAATTACTCCCCTTATGACTGTTGAATTTCATGCTGCAAAATAACATGTTCTAGATGTAAATTATTCTATGTATTGTTCACGTATTATGTTACTCATTTTAATCCTCGTGCATTCTTCAAATTAAACTGATCAAAAATCAATATTTGATTCTCAATTATATTTTGTATTATAGAAATTACTAGCAATATACAAATATATTTCTTGAATTCGATTTTCATTCAAGCTTAATTTAATTCAAGGAATAGTAATGTAATAGTTTAATGAACTGTGCACGAAATTATGAATATTACTGACAATTGCATCTTTGTCACACGTTTACTTTTTGCTCATTCTACATTCTTTCACACCGGAATAAATTTCACTCCGTTCTATGCAAATGTGTTTCCTTTCTTTGTCCTATCACAAGAAACAAATTTTTGACGAAATTTCATAAATTTCAGTGTTTGTACTACAAAAATTCTTTTGAGCTTTTTATTAAATGCCCCCTAAAATCGCTGATCCTAAATGAGTTGTCTATCTATAGAATAAATAAAAATATCGTTTAGACGAGTCTCTTCTATTAATTGGCTTTCTTTCAGATTAGCTACGGTGTTACAATCGCCCGCAGGGGTAAGAACCAATGTTGGACAAAAGTAACAAATGAGTTATTTTAAAGAAAGTCTTATTTCAAAAAACCACTGTAACATATTTCAAGTTTTTAAGATTGATTACGTTGTCCAATCATCAAGATTGGTCATCTTGTACGAATTTTAAAAAAAAATTCTACAGAATTCGAAAATTAAAGACTCAAATTCTTACTTTTGTCTCTGAGCTCCTCTGCATCCAAACAAAGCGCAGCTTCATTCGCTTCCCGTTGCCAGGACTCCGATTGTGACTGTCGTATATCAATCTTTAGTACACGGGGCAATTAAATCGGAAGTAAAAGCGAGGATCGCGAAGCAGGTCGAGTCGATTTCCGCGGGAGAACGCAACAATCGAAGACAATCGCAAGTGCACGGACCGGGGAACTTTAATTGAGGGCCCTCGGTGGATGATCGAGCCCACGTTCGAAATCGCCGATAAATGTCCCCTCGAGGGGCTTGTGTGCAAGATAAGCTTGGGCTGGCTACGCCATTGGCTGGGAGCGTGGGCAAACCGCGACACACACAACGTGGCTAACGAAAGATGCTCGATGGACGGGACTGATACAGTCGAAAGGGGGTATATACAGTGAGAGTCAAAACTAAGTGTACACCTTACAAAAGGTGAGATTCGTGGTAATACTTCTGTACCATTTTGCTATTGATCATTGTAATAATATAGTTCGATAGGATTTTTTTAACGTTTTCGGGATAAATAGGTAGCTAACATGTCCGACAAAAAAAAATTCGGAGCTGTAACCAAAAAATTTGGTAAATATCGTTTAATATGGTGAATGTACTATTATGGTTTTCAGGCAGTATGGCAACCTCTGATGTAGGACAATTGGTTTTTGGATATTTAAATATTTCAAAATCCAATTCAGCTGCAAGCATGGGTCTTTTAGTGAGAGTTCATGACCCAAGATATGTATATAGCAGAGGTGGTGAAAAATTGTTTGCTGGAAAACACTTTCAATCAGTCAGATTCTACATCCAAAGTTACCAGATCTCAGTATAATAGAGCCTCTATGCAAAATGTTAGATTCTAAAGTGAGAGAAATAAATATAAATGAATGCTATAGTTCCACAGTGTATACTCACTTTTGACTCTCACTGTATGTATATACGCGCGGGGTCCGGGTATATCGGGCGACGAATAAATGCAAGATTAATGGCCGATTTCACCCGGGGCTGGACTAAATTTAGAAACCCACGATTTATAGGATTAACTACGCCGCTACGGCCGCTTTGAATAGAGAAATTATTGGTTGTATCAATGAAATCCCGTACACGTTAATTAGATGCGCTTTTCATTGCTGGGATCAGCTTTTCTACGGTCCTCTGGAGATATGAAGATATTGAGCGGACGGATCGCGAGATACACAGAGTGGTTCATCTGACGTGATTACCTCGATTACTCGTAAATTGTTTGGTTTTATGAAAACATATTTTAAAGGAAAGTTGTGTGGTATTAAGGGGCACATATAATGCAATAATATGTTTTGTAATATATGTTTATCGAGTTCCAATGGTCACCTTTCATTTTGGAACGTCCAAATTTTTTACACAAACTGTAAACGTGCTTAGTAACACAAACACACAACAAGAACCTATATCACACTAGTTTATAAGCTAACTTTGGTATACGATTTGATCTTCTTAAAGGGTTAATTTCATTGCTAGCCGAAGCCGGGTGAAAGGCGTAACTGCGAAGCGTGCCGATAACAACCGCCACGTTTGCTTAAATTAGTTTAAACCAACTGGTATCATTTACTGACGATGGTGATCTGCATTTAACCTAGAAACTTTCTACTAGATAGAATTCAGAAAATGTTCACATTGGCAGATAATGAAGTATTCTCATGGAATACTCAAACATTCATGTATATAACTATTTTCAGATTCTATGAAAGTCTAATTGAACGTGTGTATCTCGCTACCTAGCTTCAATAATTTTCTGACTTCTTACGTGATACTTTATACACGGTGTTTCCGTAAATATTTGATAA